CCGGCCCATCCTCTTCCCCTCATCAACCCGACCTGTCCCCTCTGCCTCCCTCACCCCGGCCTAATATCCAACCCAGACCCGCACCCTCCCCGGACTACCCCTCCCCATCGGCCCTGCCCATCTGCCCACCCACAGCCCCTCCGTGGACCCGCCCCGCCCTGCTGGGGGAAGGGTGGGGCGCTGAGTCTCCGAGTCCTCTTCGCCCACCACTGCGCAGGGTCCGCTGTGCCCTGCCCAACCACTCCCAACGCCCGCCCCCGACCTGGCGATTTGTGTAGTGCACACTGCCTGAAGAGCAGAGACCTTTGGGGAAACTAAGGCTGGCCAGGGGTCGAACCTTCGAGACCCACAGCTGCCCCCTCACCGCCATTGCCTGTCCGCACTTCTGCCCTCTCCCCACCCGAGCCGTCTGCAAATCCCCTCAGCCAGGCCCCTCCCTTTCTGAACCTTTCCTGTGTGGCAAACAGCAGGAGTGGGCCAGCACCCCTTCCTCTCCGGAGGGCAGGGTGTCCCCTCTTGCTCATTCCAGCGTCCCCAGCACTAAGATTGTCTGCTGTTGTAGATCCTACTGGGGGAGGCAACTCCTTTCTCTGTCAAATTCAAGTCCTTTCCCCTATCCCTCCAGATTCTCCCCCTACCCTAACTGGCCCAAGTCTTCTCTAGTGTTTATTGAGACCAAGTCCAAACTCAAGGCTCCCCGAGGCTGCCCTGATGGCCCAGCCTCACCCTAGTTCTTCAGGCGCCCTGTTCTGACCCCACTCCCTGCCTTTGCTCAAACTCTGTCCTTCTGCCCTCCTATGCCTGCCCAACTCCACACAGGACCTGCCATACCAGACAATGGAGGAGGCTGTGCAGGAACTGGAGTGGATGGGGGACACCAGAGGCAGTGGCAATGCTGAGACCAGGAGGAGGTGCCAGGCTCCAAGCCCAGGCCACACCAGGCCCAGGCAAGATCATCTAGTAAAGCCCTCATAGTTCATATCTGGCCCACCCAGCCCAGCCCAGCCCCTTCAGAGACCCCCAAAGCCAGAGGGGGAACAGGGCATGCTGTGCAGGAGCAGCTGTGGGGTACGACGCTCACTGCCCAGGAGGGCACAGTGAAGATGTCACTTGGGGAGCCGCCAGTGATACTAATGAAGCTAAACTGCATGTGACCTCTGGCCTCACTAAAAGGATAGGGATGTGACCAAGGTGATCTGGCCGTGAGCTTTCACTGCTGCATTGTTAGGGGAGCGGATAACCAGAAGCAACCTATGGGGCTATCAACGGGACAAGAGTCAAACAGATGAAGGAAGGAGGCACTACGTGTGATCCCCACAAAGCAGGAAAGGTGGGGTGCAGTGGGGTAGGGGATCTTTAGCAAAGAGCATGGGCAAGATGGCTTTTGGTTTCTCCCAAACCCGGAGTCCAGGGAGCCAACCTCAATATCTTCTTAAGGACAGCCGGCAGGAAAAGCTGCTCAGGAGCAAGGTGCAAAGGCTGCTGGGAATCTAGGAATAGGAAAACACCTTCCAGGGTGCCTTTACAGATGGAGAAAACTCCTGGCTGGGACCTGCTCAGCACTCTCTCTGCTGCACGTAGAGAGGAGTGAGCATTCACCCTCCCCAACAACAACTGAAATGTATTGCGTGTGAGTAAGTGCGTGTGTGTGTGTGTGTGTGTGTATCCTCACACAACATACACATGTTCCCAGTCTGGCAGGTGCATGGGAGCAAGAGCACAGAATAAATTCACTGTGGCTGCCACAATGAATTATCATATTCTGGATGCCTTAAACAACAGAACTTTAGACAACCCAATGAATAAGACTAAATATTTGTAAATTATATATCAGATGAGGGATTAATATCCAGAATATATAAAGAGCACCTACGACTCAACAACAACAAAAAGCAAGCAACCCAGTTCAATAGTGGGCAAAGACTCTGAACGTTTCTCCACAGAAGACATGTAAATGGACGACAAATGTGTGAAAAGATGCTCAGATCACTAATCGGTAGGGAAATGCAAATCAAAACCGCCATGAGATAGATACTTGTTCCCACTTACACAATGGTATTATTTTAAAAAATAGACAATAACAAGTGTCAGTTAAGATGTGGAGAAATCGGAACCAATGTGCTCTGCTTGTGGAGATGTAAAATGGTGCAGCCACAGTAGAAACAGTCTGGCAGTTCCTCAAAAAGTGGAACATAGAATCACCATATGATCCAGCAATACCACCAAAGACGGAGAAATTGTAAATAAACGTCAGGCTAAATAGCAATGTTTTCAGCAGAGAAAAGGCATGAATTAGTCATAGAGTTAGCAAATAAAAATAGTTATATTTCACTCTCAAGTAAATGACAAAAAAATTTTAGCATAGTATATCCCATGTAATATTGGGGAAGTCACTCACGCATCCACCTTCTGCTTCCATGTGACTCGTTCTCATCTTCTGATTCTGTCCAGCAGCTTCGTCATTGTAAAGCCCCTCCTGAGGGGCTCCCTCAGCTGGGTGACTGTGCCCCCGATGAGTCTCTGTTATGCATAGTCTGCACCCACTCACCTCACCTGGAGGGCCTTGCACCCACTACCGTGCCTGGGGGCTGCCTGCACCTGCGCACCTCATCTTGGAGCTGTGCACCTGCAGGTTGAGTGCAGGGGTGTATGTGTCTGTCCCAGGAGGAGCACAGAGGTGCCATGTACAGTCCTTCTTACCAACACCAGAGCCCCTAACATGGCTTGGAGTAGGACACCTCCAGGTACCTTCATCTATCCCTTAAGCTGCCACCTAGACCCAATCATTCATTCCTGGAGGCCCTGTGAGAATAGAGCAGGGACTGGCCTCCGATGGCACTTGGGCCAGCTGAGGTTTGATAGATGAGAAAACTGAGACCCAGACGATTCAGCCCCAAATGGGCACCCTGGCTGCTTCTGCCTTCTGGGCAAACAGGCTGGAAATAAAAGTGCCACAGTGAACGCCCTGGCCCACCTCGGCTCTGCCTGCTGCTTATGTCCTGGGGAAGATGCCAGCTCAGTACCAGGAATGTTCCAGACACGCCCTGGAACAGGAAGGACTGAGGAGGCAGCAGACTGCCATCAGCTCCAAACACACACCGGGGGCCAGAGAGGGGCTCCCACCCTCTGCTCCCCGTAGTGAACTCACTGGGCCCTGCAGGATATGGATCTTCAAGGGGCAAGGCCTGGGACAGCCATCTGGCCAAACGTATATCCAACCCAGGTAAGGCAGACAGGTTTGGACAGCCACCAAGTAATGTGGACAGGTCTAGACAGCCTCTGAGGTGGTCCGATGTAGACATCCTCGAGGTAAGGTGAGCAGGTATAGACAGCTCCCTGAGGTGGACAGGTAAAGACAGCCCCTGGGTAAGGTGGACAGGTGTAGGCAGCCCACAGGTGAGGTAACTGCTTTCTCCCCTTCTTTCCTTCTCTCATCCAATGTCTATGAACATTGCCCATTAGGTGAACCAGGTGCTCAAAGATGTACCAGCCCTCAGCCTCTCACAATATTTAGGAAACTTGGTTCCAGCAGGTGAGTTCTGGAACCTCTGACAGAAGGACTCACATCACAGGGCACCTGTGGGGGCTGGAACCCAGGATGTAAAGCTAGTCCTAAGCCCAGGGCATAGACGATGGTCCATGTAGGGTACCTCTTCCCACAGCGCAGGTGTAGGCCTCCTGGGTGTGATACTGGGGACAGTCAGCCTGGGAGCTGGAGGCACTACCTCCCATGGGGCTGCTTTGCAAAAAGAGATGTTTCATTGTTCCTTCGTGCAAACCTTCTGAGGCCTCCCTTCCCTCCTGGCTCCCTAGGCCACGTCCCACCCCACCAGGAGTACTTGGCATCCCACAGCTCATCCCTGGTCACCTGGGCATCTCCTACGGACTCCAGCTCTGGGGGCAGACGCCAGGCCTCGGCCCCTTCTTCCTCTATCATGGCATTCTTTCTTTTTCTTTTTTTTTTACAGCTTTATCAAGATATAATTTACATCCCATAAAATCCGCCCACTTAAAATGTACAATTCAATAGTTTTTAGTACATTTACAGAGTTATGCGACCATAACCTAATTCTAGAACATTTCCATCAACCCCCCAAAGGAGACCCTGTCCTCATGAGCATTCACTCCCTGTTCCCCCCACCGCCCCTGGCAACCACTAACCCACTTTCTGTCTCTATGGACCAGTCTGCTCTGGACATTTTACATAGATGGGATCACGCATTGTGTGGACTTCAGAGACTGACTTCCTTCACTCAGTATGATGTTTTCGAGGTTCATTTCAGAGTCACTCTTCACAGCTTTGCAAACTTGCTGGAGAAAACCAACAGTGGCTCTGCTAAGAACGGGGAAAGGCCCCAAAGTCTCTGACGTGACAGACTAACGACGATGACAACAGCATCCATAATAATGGTCGGCCTTTACAGAGTGATCACCATGTACCCCGTATGAATTGTGTTATTATTTTTTTTTCTCACAACCACCTTGAGCTAGGGTGACTGTTGGCACCCTGGGTGCCAAGTGACAGAGCTGAGATCTCACTGTCCCACATCCACCAGCCACGAGCCTCCCTTCTGCCCCAGGCTTGCATTCTCAGCCTGGAAGGCTGTTCCCAGCAGCCTTTGCATGGCTGGTTCCTTCCTGGTGGGGGGACAGCTGGAGGCTGCTTGCATCTGTGGAGATCCCCAAAATGGCAGCCTTGGGACAGCACGAGGCAAAGAATTTGGCCCCAATTTAAATGTCCAAAAAAGAAAAAAAAAAGATAAAGTACTGTTTTT